TACAGATTCAGACTGTATGGTTCAGAGAGGCCGCGACTCCCCCTCAGGTCACACAGCAAAGAAATAACAGGAGTGTCAAGGAGAATGGATGCAGATGGAAGGCCAGGAGAAACCCTCAGGCCTCAGTTCCTACATGTCAGCAAACAGTGTGCCACACGGCGTTACCAGACAGGCCACAGAGCCAGCCAGCCCAGCCATGCTGGCTTGGCATTTGGAGCTTCTCCAGTTGGGCCCAGACCACTTCTTTCAACCTGTTTACTGAGCTGAATGGCAGAGAGGCCGTCCTTATCTGGGAGGCGTTAGGTTTGTTAGAACTACAGCAGAGGCAAAGTCCTTTCAAGTCCTGACCTTGCACCTGAGCCCGTGCTGTCTGTTCCTAGGCCAGACTGCTGCCGGCTCTCCGTGGCCGGCCTCCAGCTGCCAGCCTTGCATGAGCTCCCGCTGCAGGTGGCTCATGGCGCCCTCTGGTGGTCACCAGCACCAGGTGCTCTGCACAGCTGCCTCGCCTAGAAGACTTCAGCCCTGAAACAAGCCAGCTCTACCAGCCGAACTAGCCTGTGGGGCTCACATGCAAGGGACCTTAACCTGAGGCATCCCTGCGCGTCTGCTTGTCTCCCCAGGGGACAGGGCTCTTATACCCCTCGCTGAGCACTCAGCCCTCACTGCTGAAGTCTTGCTGCACCCTCCACTCACCTCTCAGCAGCTCCCCTCCTGACCCAGGGTTTCCATCTGCTGTCTGCCCAGGCCCCCACTCTGCCACCAGTGTCACCGGGCTGCAGGCATCCCCAGGGCTCCAGTCCCCTCCCTGCCTGGCATCAGGGTGTATGGAGATGCTGATTATGGAGACAGTGAAATGTTTGTAAACCCTGGGTAGAGGCGAATTGGAGCCAGTGTACGCAGGGGGTGAATGAGCATCCTAGAGGCCTGTCTTCAGCCCCAGGCACTTTCCTGGGTTAACTCTTTGCCAGAGACTCTGGCTGAGGCCCAGGTGCCACTCAAAGCACAGGACCAAGGGTGACTGGGTGACCTGCTGACCTATGGGCCGCAGGGAAAACACTGGTGTGCTTCCACCTAGTGGCCACTTGTGCACATTGCAGCTATGAAATGCGCCAACCTATATTAAGTCTGGGGAAAGAAATCAGGGTGGGAGCTGTTAACAACAGAGCAAGCAAGCCTGGGAGTGGAGACAGGGCCTTCATAGAGAACTGCTAGAGGAAAGAAAATTCTAGACATTAAGAAACCACTTGGAGTGCTGGCAGCTTCCTGGGTGCCAGAGGCCCTGCCAAGTCCATGGCCAAGGCAAACTCCTAGTATCCTCAGGAAAAGTGTTCATGTAAGCGTTGAGGCACCCCAACTTTACCTGATGAGGAAGCTGGGCCCAGACAGGCTCCACAGCCTGCTCCACTTCACCCCCAGCTCATCAGCCTGGGCCCATGATACAAACGGATCTGCACACTTTGCTCCTGGATTTGCACACTTTGCTCCTGGCTTTGCACATTTTTGCTGCAGGGAGACCTCCCGAGTGGGCCGTAGGAACACTGCGGGCTGCGTACAGTAACTAGGAGGCAGCTGGGTAGACAGGAAGCCTAAACCCCACCTCTACTCACCACCAGTCTCTAGCCTTGAGAATTCAAGTTCCTGCCCAACAAGGTGGTATGCAAGCTAGAAAGCACCACACATACCATGGACACCAACACCAACTTTATCCCAGACTTGTGCTTTGTTTTGGTTTTTGTTCCAGTAGTGGTTTTAGGCCTCAGGGCCTGCATGCTGTCCTTTAGGTGTTTTTTTTCTCAAGCTTGGTGCTCTGCCATTTGAGCCATAGCTCCACTTCTGGCTTTTTAACACGTTAACTGGGGATACCATCTCATGGACTTTCCTTCCCATGTCAACCTCAAATAGAGATCCTCAGATCTCAGCCTCCTGAGAAGCTAGGCTTACCCTATGTGAGCTACTGGTGCCTGGCTTTTTTCCTCTTCTTTTAAAATGAGAGATTCATGCCAACTTTGAACCTGACCTGTATGTCCTTCCCCGGGTGCAGTGATCTGTCACGAGTGAACTCTTCCTCTGTACATTACTCTGTCTGGCCAAGCAAATACTCAGAGCAGCTGAGCATCCTGAGCTTTTGCTGGTGATTTCACTCTGCTCTGTTGGTTCTCATTTGACCTGAGACTCAGAGAGGTCAGGGGACTCACCAGTCACACATCAAGGAGCAGCACGGCTGCACCTGGAATGCTCTGCTCCTCCCAGAATTCCCTGTGGGCACTTGGTGGGGGAGGACCCTGCCCCAGGGACTCTGGGGAGATGGAATGTGGCGCCATTTCTCCACTCAACCCATCAGCCCATTGAAACATCCTATGTAGAACCAACCACACCCAGAGCCCTGGCTAGAAAAAAAAACACCAAACACACCTGAACAATAAAATAGCTCTGTTTTAATTCACTTTGATTCGGATCATTGTAAATATTCAACAATAAATAAGACAGCGGGGGCGGAAGGCGGCAAACTAGCTAATGTCATTCAAAAATACACCCAGAGCAACTGACACGCGGCTGCAAAATGAACAAAATGAACATGGGGAGAGAAAGCAAATTTCATATCACTACCAACCAACCAGAGGACATGGCAGAGAAAGAAGAAAAAGTGCTCAAGTACGTTTGGCTTTGGAGGGAGTTGTGATGAAGAGGACCACACCCTCCCTAGCCTGTGAGGGGAGGGGACAACACACTCAGGTTGAAAGCTTAGCCCTGCTCTGGGCCCTTGACAGGGAGCAGCCAATGGGGGAGGGGGGGTAAGAATCCTGACCCTTAACCTGGAAGGAAAAAGTGGCTTTGAAGCAGGCTGGCTGCTTTGTTACGGGGTCACCTAGGCCTCAGCTCAGGGGCCCTAGATGGACACGATGACATCTAGAGCTCATGAGGGCAGGAGCTGGCCACTGAGAGCACATGGCCAGCGTCCAGCCTCACAGCTGCTCCAGGGCCACTCTGGGCTCGGCTCCCGGGATGGCCATCATGGCCAGGTAAGGGAAGCTACTTCCTATGCTCCTTGTTTCGGGGGCTCCTGGAGCAAATGTCACCATCTGAAAAGTTCTTGTGGGTTCCAACCCCTCCCACTGCCCCATCCCAGCTGCTACGGCCCTAAGACACTCCCAGACTTTCGTGGTCCTGTCTTAACGCTGCCCATGAATCCTTGGTCAACAAACTCCTGGTTTGGGACTTGGATTTTTGGATGTAGCTCTTCCTGTCAAGCCCTGCCCATGTTCTCCCAGCCTGCCTCGGGGTGCTTCCTGTCCCACCTCCTGGGCCGCCGGAGCCCCTCTGTCTCCCCTCCACGGCAGGGCAGGGCCGAGGCGCAACCTGTCAAAACTGACTCCTGCTTCACTGGGAAACGAGGCTGGGACAGAGGCTGCTGATTGGCCCCAGGATCCTGGGCTGCCCCTGCGTTGGGGGCTTCTGGTCTGGCTCCTTGAGGAGGGCATGCTGTTCTCTGCCCTGCAGGCCGCCCTGTGGGGTATCACCCCTTCCTCCTTCAGCCAACCAACTAAGCTTATAGGTGTATCTAATTCTGGCCACCCAGACTGGTTTTTATTCAGCTCAGCACCCGTTGCTACAGCGATGAGACACACAGGTGGGACCTGGTTAAGAGATGTTGGCTTGGCTGCCAGAGGGTGGATGGACTGAGCCGGGCATGCGCAGTGTCCTGGGAGGGCCTGAGGATGGAGCCAAGAGCCCCTGGGCGATTTAAACAGAGCCAACTCTGTCCTGCTTTGGCTCAAGCTCTTTGAGCTGTCCATGAGCACAGGGTCTCAGAACAAGCCCTGTTGCCTGTCTGGGCCCTTGTTTCTCATAGTAAGGTGGACAGTGGGCTCGTGGGCTGGAGGGGTCACCCTGGCGCATCCTCCTGGGGAGGCACGGGAGGGGGGCAGGCAAGCAACACAGCAGCATGAGCTCAGGGCAGCTGATCTGCCTCTGGGGCCCGTCCTCCCATGGTACAACCCAAGGAGCCACAGCCTGGCCTGAGCCGGTCCCTGCTGCCCTCTCCCCTCACCCGGCCCGTGGCAGGAGGGAGGGCTGGGGCTCACACAGCCCTGGAACCCCAGAGGTATGGTCCAGATCCAAGGCCTCACTGTGACTCATCCACCTCTTAGTCTGAAATCTGAAAAGATTGCAAGGCTGAAGCAGGTTTGTATTTAAGAAAACAAAAACCATTGGGTTATGAATCTTCGAGAATCTACTAAAAGCTCTAATAAAAATGCTCTGATAGCGGGGCGCTGGTGGCTGATACCTGTCATCCTAGCTACTCAGGAGGCTGAGGTCTGAGGATCAAGGTTCAAAGCCAGCCTGGACAGGAAAGTCCATGAGACTCTCATCTCCAATGAACCACCAGAAAACCAGAAGTGGTGCTGTGGCTCAAGTGGTAGAGCACTGGCCTGAAGCTGAAGAGCTGAGGGACAGTGCCCATGACTGACCAAAAAAAAAAAAAAAAACCCACAAAAAATGGCTCTGATACAGACTCAGGAAGAGCACACAACCTTGGTGTGCACTTTCTGGAGACTCTCACCTATGACCTAAAGCCATGTGTGGCCCCTGACCAACGCGCCTTCCAAGGCGGTCATCTTTCCCGGGGATCTGCAGAGGGGGCGTGGCGAGGGCAGAGCCCGCAGATGCAGATGCGCGGCTCCGCTGCCCAGTGCCTGCCTCCGCCTCCCCCAGCCCCGCGAGCAGCTGCCTGGACGCAGGAGATTCCCAGCCTGCAGGAGGCAGAAAGAAGTAAGGGCACAGCTCATGTCTGTCATCGAAGCCACTCGGAAGGCTGAGCTCTGAGGAGGTGGCTCAAAGCCAGCCCGGGCAGGACAGCCTGCCAGACTCCCATTTCCAAAAAAGAATTTAAAAAAAGCCAGCAGTAGAGCTGTGGCTCAAGCAGTAAAGCACTAGCCTTGAGCAAAAAGGCTAAGGGTCAGTGCCTAGGCCCTGAGTTCACGCCCCAATACTGGCAGAAAGAGAGAGATGGGCAGAGGCGGGGAAGGAAGGAAAGTAGGGAAGAATGAAGGAAGGAAAAAAGGGAGGGAGGGAGCACAAGCTCATGCACAGATCATTTCCCGAACCCCGGGGCTGCACCCCCTCACACCCCGAAGCCCCCGTGAGGACTAGGGGAGGGGCCTCCTTCAGCTCCCCGCTCCGAGCTCTGACGCTTAACGCAACACCGGGAGCAGCAGAGCCAGCGCATGCGCGCCGTGTCAGCTGAACTTGCTTAAAATACCAATAAATAACCAGGAAGGCAACGAGGCGAGGCGAGGAGCGCAGACAGGACGGAGGGAGACGAGGTATGTAGAGAGCCGGTCGCCATTTCGTGGGTGTCCCCACTCCGGCCCCCAGGAGACCACAGAGGTGGCCCCTACTTGGCCCAGACCTGAGGCCCCCGGGGGCAAGGCTGGCTGCCGGGGGGTCCTCGTGTGGCTTTCGAGGGTCACAGACACCAGGCTGGACGGTGTGTCCAGCCCGCGGACCCCGCCATCCTAGCTTCATTCCAACTCCAGAGCTGGCTCAGAACACTGGGGGGAGCAAAGGACGCCGGCTATGCAGCAAAAGTCGGGGTGCTGGTGGAGCCCCCCCTTTCTGGAGTTGGAGCTTTGGCCTCCTTTCAGCCAACGCATGCGTGTCTCCCCGAGTTCAAAGGCACATGACGCGGGCAGGCCCCTCCGGGAGCTTTGGAAACAGAGGGGGACCGAGGGGTGGTCACACCAAGCAAGAGGCCAGGCTTCGTGCAAAGGGCATCATGGTCGCCCTGTGCCTGGATGGCCCAGCGTGGCTGTCCTGGAGGTAACGGTCACTTACAAGCATCCCGGCGCGAGCTGGGTGCTGAGTGTGCACTGCAGCTCTCCCCGGGAGTCAGCCTCTGCCCACTTTCCTCCTGGGAGACTGCCTGGCCTTTGGAATAGGGGAGTCCACTGTGTTTTGTGCCCTGAAATCCAAAAGCCCCAATGATTGTCCTCTTTGAAGCTTGTGTCCTTCCCAGCATCTTCCCACCTTGCCCCGGCCTGGGGACCGCTGCAGGGGAGGGGCCGGGGCCTTCTTTGCGGCCCTGGCACACAATGGGGCGACTTTGATGTCAAAGGTGGAGATGCGAGAGGCCAGGAGCACGCTGGAGCATACCCAAGGCCGGCCCTGGAAGCTTCCAGAACGGATTGGCTCCAGCAAGATGCTGTGGTTGTGAGCAGAGAGAGGTGCGAGGTGGTGCAGGACACCCCCAGCCCCCCCTGGGCGTCATCTCCCCTTGAAGATGCGGATTTTGTTGATGGCCGCCAGGGCGGCGGTGACGTTGGACTCGAAGTCCGCGTCGTGCACCCCTGTCTTCCGGAAAGCCCCCGCCGATGGGTTGTTCTCCCAGTAGTGGTGCCAGTTCCCTTTGCTGTCTGCCCCAAAGCCGTACAAGTCCACCTGCAGGAAAATCGGATGTCAGAGACAGACAGCAAGGAAGAAGAGCCTGAAGGAACCATGGGAACGGGCCCCAACTCCTGCACAGTGACTCCCCAAAATGCCTGCTGAACATTTTAGCGTCAGAGCTCAGGAAGAGGTGGGGACACAGAGGCTGAGTTCTCGGGGGAAGCAGCCCCCGAGTGAGCCCCTCTCCACCTCGCCAGCACACTCACGCATGCACGCACGCACGCACGCACGCACCTCGTCACAGACGTGCATGGAGAAGATGACCGAGAGGATGCCGGTGGACGGGTACCGCCCGTGGCCCTGCAGCCAGTTATCGAAGACGTACTTGATGAAGGCCGGGTGGTAGATCAGGATCTGGGGACAAAGATGGGGCCTTGGGTGAGTTCAAGTCAGCAAGGAAAGGGGTCAGGGGTCACTAATGGGGTACCCTGGCCACGGCAGTACGGCTGTAGAGGATCCTGATGAACACCCTCCTCCACAGTGGGTTGGGGCAAGGCACACAGCTCCATTCCTGAGAGGTGAGGAGAGAGCTAAGCGCGACACAGAGAACTGTGGCCACAACTCCTAGAAAGAGAGTCCCCCAGGGATGGTGACACTGAAATAGAAATCCCAGGAAACTCAAGAATGAGACCTGAGATCCCCAAACCAGGGGTTTCCCTGGGGAAGAGAGCGATGAGGAAGGATTGGTGGGTCTGCCCGGGAGAACTTGCTGCACCCAGGAGTGATGGTCAAACTACAGCCTGGAGGGCAGGCGGAAGGCGCTGGATCACTGGGTGGCCCGCCCAGGGTGGGCTGTGGGCGGGCGTCTGTGTGGTTGGACCGAGGACTTGAATCTGTGTAAGTTTCCCCTGCTTTGTGGGTCTCTCCCCTGCAGCGAGGCCATGCTGGGTGCCCCTGCTTGAAGACAGTCTCAGACTCTCTGTAGCCCAATGGGAGGCTGGGAGGAGGCAGCTGGGAGAAGGCAGGTTGAGCCCCACGCACCTTATCCTGCTTCACTTTGATCTTCGGGGGGACGGGGACGTAGGTGCTGCGGTTGGGGAGAGAAAAGATGGTTAGTGTGGGAGAGGCCACCTGGGGACCCTCTGGACAGTGAGGCCGGACCCGGAGAGCCTCTCCAGCCTCCACTCCTGCTTTCTGAGCCACCCTCCTGCAGCAGCCATGGAGGACGCCAGGGGGCGATCTTGGCTGGTTTCGGGATGCTCTGCAGTTACAAAGTTAGATGAGGATTTGCTCCAGGCACCGTGTGAAGAGTACAACACCTGTGCCCAGCTGCAGAGGAGCTGGGTGATGGGTGACTCAGTCCCCGGTGCTCACCCAAGACGTCTATGAAATTAGACTTACTGGTGCCATCCAGGCTGCCAAGCACCCTGAGGGACCAGGCTGGAGAAGATGGCCACTCAGAAGGCTGCCTGGCCGGCTCCTCCCTGCCAGGTTCTTCCCTCACTCCCAGGAGGCACTGCCCTACGCAGTTCCAGGAACACAAGGTCCTGGGTCTGACTGTGTTCCCAGGAAACCTGGCCTAGGACCAGGAAGGCCTGAGGACCTCTGGCGAATGGAAGCCAAGACTCACTGAGAAGAGTTAGCTAAGACCTTAAGAATTAGATCCAGATGGCCACATGGGCTCTGGATCAAGTGGTTTGGTGGAGACTAGTGCTAAAGACAGTGAGGATTTGGTGACAGATAAATCTCATGGACTGGGTGTGGTGCATGATGGGAAAAGTGCTTGCACTCTTAGGGGACAAGCACTTACCAGAGCCGGGCATTAGAGGCACAGGCCTGGAGGCCTCCTTGCCTCTGATCCTTCCCTGCAGAACTACCACACGTGGAGCCCCTTCTAGTACATTCTAACCAAGAGTGCCCTGGGAGTCTGGGCAGCAAGGCCCTGGCAGAATGCTCTGGGGCCTGAGGGCACCGTGGTCAGGCCGGGCCCCCGCAAGGTGGCCGGGCTTGTATGTGGTCAGGGGACAGCACGGTGGGACACGGGCCGTGAGGCCGCGCGGAGGGACTCACTGGGTGATGGTGCCCGTGGTGGTGGCGCTGATCACCCACTGCAGGTCTGTGGTCTTGAAGGGGACCAGGACCATGCTGACGTTCTCTCCCAGCTCCCGGAAGCTCTCGGGGTACACGAGATGGTGGGTGGTCTTGCTCCCCACGTCGGCCTCAAACCCCATGGTGGGTGCCTTGTTCATCCTGGGGGTACAGAGGAGACAGCGAGGTGGCCCTTAGTGGGGCCCGGAGCTTCAGCTCTGCGGTGACCTCGGGTGAGCAACCTGCCTCCGTCTCCTCATGTGAACAAGGGGACCCCAGCCTTCTTGTTTGGCTCTTAGGAGCTCTAGTTGAGCTGACCTATCTCTTTCACAGCTCACCGGTCACTAGCAACCACGCCCAGTAGACATCGTACAGTCCTTCTGTGTGACCCAGGAGACCTGAGCTCAGAACGCACATCCCAGGCCTCGGGGCCCACAATAGCGGCCTTGAACTTAGTTCTCTGTGAATCTGACTCTCCTCCTCAAGGGGACCTTCCCTTGGACACTAGGAGAGGGTCTGAAGATAGGGTACCGGATGAATAGAAACACAAGACTTTTCTAGAAGGCGGGTGGGCGACAGGCTGCCCCTCCTTGACCTGGGACTCGATCTTGGGAGTGGTGTGGTGAGGAATGTGTGACCTCCTAGGGTAGACTCGGGGTCTCTTCCAGGGGTGTTTACTTGGGGACATGGGAAACACATGACATTAAAAGCATATTGGTTCTGGGATGGCCTAGGCTGTGAAATGGGGGTGAATTCCAATGATTGCCAGCTTGAGTTGATTTGGAGGAGTCAGGGGGTCATGGAGCTTGAACTCTGGGCCTGCGCACTGTCCCTGAGATCTTCAGCTCAAGGCAAGCACTCTACCACTTGAGCCACAGCGCCACTTCCGGTTTTCTGGTGGTTAATTGGAGATAAGTCTCATGGATTTTCCTGCCTACCCTGGCTTTGAACTATGATCCTCAGATCTCAGCCTCCTGAGTAGTTAGGATGACAGGCCTGAGCCACTGGCGCCCGGCTCTTGCTTGAGTTTTTGTGTGGTCTCCACACCCAGAGGTGTTTCTCCATCTTTCGACAGTGAGGGGACACTGAGGCCCAGAGTGTGCAGGGAGTCCAGGGAGGGAGCCTTGGCATTCTGACCTGAGCTAGGACCTGGGCGTGGGGAGGGGCGGCCTGCGCAGGGCACCCACCTGAGCACGAAGTCATGGCTGTCTATCTCAGCCCCGTAGAAGGACTCCCGCAGGTTGCCCGAGTTGCCCACGACGGCACAGCGCCGGCAGCCCACCACCCTCTTCTCCAGCACCGGGTCCACGTCCCCGGGCACTATGCTGAACAGCTCCTGCACGAGGTCGCTCAGGTTTCTGGGCTTCCGCTCCCGCTGCAGCCTCTGTGGCGAAAGTCGGGAGACACCGTGAGGGGAGTGCTGTGCTGACCGCCTGGTGCGTTGTGCAGCCGGACACCGAGTCCCCAGGCCACCAGCCGTGGATGGCTGGGTCCCCTGGAGACCCCAGGAGTCCACACGGGAGACCCGGGGAAGAGCTCACACGTTCACTCTGCATGGGTTTGTTGTGTACCTACTAAGCGTGAGGACCTGCGCTAGCCACGAGACAAGGACGCTGACCAACCTGTGTCAGGTGCCTGCTCTGGCAAAAGGCAAGCCTCTCACCAAAAGGGGTGTCACTGCCATCCTGCTCCTGATCTCCCCACCCCCCCAGCAGACTCTAGAGCCTGGGCTGCAGGGCTTGTTTATTATGCCTTTCAACAGAGTAGCAGCAGTAGACTGGTGGTGTTGGCTCACGTCTGTAATCCCAGCTACTCAAGAAGAAGCTGAGATCTGAGCATCTCAGACCAGGCAGGAAAGTCTGTGAGACTCTTATCTCCACTTAACCACCAACATGCCACAAGGGGAGGTGTGGATCAGGTGGTAGAGTGCTAGCTTTGAGTGATTTGAGGGTCAGTGCTGGGGGCGGTGCATGATATGAAGACACCCCTGTACTGCTACACCCCTTCTCTCGCCAGGGCCGGGCCGGGGCCAGGGGATTATCATGACACTGAGGCTGGACCAAAGCCACCACCGCAAAGATGGTGCAAGAAGAAGCAGGACTCGGTGAATGGGGAGACTGAGGTCCAAGAAGGGACTCGGCCGAGGTCACCTGGGGGAAGCCACCATGGCAGAGCTGGGAGCACCTGGTGTCTTTCTACAGGCTAGCTCCCCAGGTTTCCCACACATGGCGGGGCAAGCTCCAGGGGATTTTCTCTGTAGTACCCCATCGGCTTCCCCGGAAGGAATGTTCCACGGAATAGAAGTTACAAGAGAGGGAGGTGGACGTGGCAGAAGATGCCCAATTCAGAGACCCCGCCTCCTGCCATCCTGACTAGCTTTGCATACCATCGGTGTGCAGTAACTGATGTCTGCTGCTGGTGATTCCAGCTCCTTGAAAACGCAGGGTGGCCTGGGCTGTGGTGCTGGGCCAGGGAGGCAAGCGTTCAGAATGCATGTGGGGCATGAGCCGGGGAAGGCATGCAAGGGGTGCTGTCTCCATGGGGTGCAAGGGGCCGCAGCCTTGACTCCAGGAAAAGGTGGGGGGAGGTGTCAAGTGCATCACCCCACAGGGCAGCCCTCTCCAAGTACCACCTGAGAAGCGGCATTCCACATCTCCTGGCCTTGATTACACCCAGATCCAAGGGCACGCATCTCAAAGAGGAGAAGGAGGCTGGGCACAGCCCGGAGAGCCAAGGAAGGAGGCTCATGCAGGGCAGAGGCAGAGCAAGACACAGAGAAGCCCCGGAAGTTGGGGGCATCACGGAGGAATGGATGCACTCCAAGGGTCTCCAGAAAGAATCACCCTTGCCAACGCCTCCCCCACTTCAGACCACTGGCCTCTGGAATTGTGAGACCAATCATTTCTGTCATCTCAAGCCACAGGCAACTCATCAAGAACAATTTGCTCGGACTTCCAAGCTACAGCTACTCAATAGTACTGAGTGAGTGAATGAGGGAACACACTGCGATCTTCTACCTCCCGCCCAATGCCTGGCAGCACCCGGGGGGGGGGGGTGCCCACAGATCTGAGCACGTGACTCTGTGCCCCGCCCCACCCCGCCCCTCAGCTCCCCACCCCGCTCACCAGCCACCACTGGTAGGTGTCCTGGGGCATGAGGGCGTTGTGGGCATTCATCAGCGGCTGCATGGTCTGGTTGAAGCGCTGGTCGAACCAGGCTGAGACCCCGTGCTGGCTGAGGCAGCTGGCACAGGTGCACGGCTGGAATTTGATGAGTTTCCTGAAGTTTGCTGAGAGCTCCAGGACCATCTGCTTGGGGAACCAGGTGGTGGGCACCCCGGTGTGGGAGTAGTTGAGGAAGAAGGAGGTGAGGAAGATGAAGAGCACGAGGAAGGTGAGCAATTTGAGGGTTCGCTTCCTCATGGCCATCGCCGTGGCTTTCCGGGGGGCGTCCCTGCGAAGGTGGGAGGAAATCCCACCCAGCTGAGTGGAAATGGGAAGCAATTCCCAGAGTCACCGTGCGATCCAAGTGGCCAGGGGTCCACAGAGGCCGCGGGGGAGGGGGACTGCTCAGGCTGACGTCAGTGTCGTGGAGAGGTGGCCAGCCTGCGTCCGACGTCCCGTATGTCATCCAAAGGCCATTAGAGGTGTGCTGGCTGGCTTCTGTCTCTGTCCTTTAGGAAAAGCCCAAGATAATGCCTCTCAGTGAATCGTGATGACAGTGACTTCCTTTCTCACTCCAAGGGGTTCAGGGGTTGTTAATCCTTATGGCAGGCCAGGGACCCTCGGGGAAGGAAGCCAGGAGGACAACTCTTGGGATGGGGTGCAGAGCCACCAGCTTGGCCACCGTCCTGTGTGAAGTGGGGCTGGCAACGGTCCTTACTTACTCAGAGCTTTACCTGTTCCGGAAGGTGGGGGTTAAGCAGGCATCTTAGTGAAGAGACACAACCTGTCTTCTGCAAAGAAAAGAAGAAAGAGACGTGAGAAAGGCGGGCACTGGTGACTCATGCCTGTCATCCTAGCTATTCAAGAGGCTGAGGTCTGAGGATTGCAATGGGAAGCCAGCCAGGGCAGAAAACCCAGGCAGATTCTTATCTCCAGAAGAAAAAACAAACACAAAAGGAGAGCTGTGGGTCCCGTGGTAGAGTGTCATCCTTGAGGAAAAAAATCCAAGCAAGAATGAAAGGCCCACACCTATAATCCTAGCTTATGTAGGAGGCTGAGATCTGAAGACTGTGGTTCAAAGCCAGCCCAGGCAGGAAAAGCTGTGAAACTCTTGTCTCCAATTAAAAACTGGAAGTGGCGCTGTGGCTCAAAAAGTGCTAGTCCTGAGCAAGAGAGCTCAGGGATACACCTAGGCCCTGAGTTCAAGCCCCAGGACCACCACCACCAACAACAAAAAGAGTGAAAAGCCTTAAGTTCAAGCCCCAGTGCTGACACAAACAACAACAACGAGATATGCATGCTGTGATCTCTCCCAACCTTCCACCAGGGCCTGCCCTGGCTTCCTCCTGCAGAGACCAGCCTGGCAGGGGCTGTGGATGGCTTATCGGCTTCCAGTCTGAGTTTTCAGTTGCATAAGAGAATAAATTGCTTGTATTATATAAAGCAGACTGTTTTATTTGTGACTAGGAGCAACATGACGGAACCCAGGCCACAGTTGCTCCTGCCTCTGGTTCCTGTCCAGAAAACACAGCTCCCTGGCCCCCAGGACTGGACCTGGGGAAGACTGCCCACCCCAGAGGTGAGTTAGGGGCTTCCTACGAGAGCCCCTGTGTGTCATGAGCTAGATGCTTTGCCTCTCTGATGGTTGGCTCCTGAACCCACAAAACGGCATGGATAATGGTCACGTGGAGACTTGAGGTAGGTGACGTGACTTGGAAAAACAAGTGACCAGACCAGAGTAGGGGTGTTACACAGATTAGTTCTGTTCCTCCTCCCCGTGCGCCACACTTGTCACCCACAAAAAGAAAAACAGAAAAAGAAAGAGGAACAAGGCTAACAGGATCCTGGCCTGGGCAGATTATTTAAAAGCACAAAAGGAATCAGGCTGGGAAGTGGGCAGCCGGGGGGTAAAACAGCCACGATTCTGACCAGCTGCTCTAGCTGCCGCAACTCCTCTAGGCCCTGGACGGCTGACCCTTTCCTGCTTGCTGCCGCAGTGGCCTGGGGCTCCAGGACCTTCATGGAAGGTCTCCAGGGCAACAGCCAGGCCTCAGGTAAGACCAGGAGGCAGCAGGGCTGTGAGAGAGCGTGCGTGTGGGTCCTAGGGCTGCAGCCAGAGGAGGGCTGCCAGGAGGGCTCCAATCAGTGGGTCCAGCCAGCTTTGGTTCCTGGAGAGAGCTTCCTCCAAGTGTCACGGTTGGTCGCCCCGCCCCCTCCGCTCCCACTTGTCCGGTGCTCTGAGTTCTCCTCCTGTGGAGTGCTCGGGCTTACACCTTTGCAGTAATGGAACTTTCCAGGCCATGGCTGCATGGGGCTGTCAGGTCATTCCCACTCTTCTTACTGTTCGCACACCAGTCCTAGCTGACACTGGTAGAGGCTTCGGGAGCCTTGTGCGCTGGGTGTGAATAGTGTAGAAATGGCTGGAATGTACTTTGGCCGCCACATTACAAACAAGGAAACTGAGGCTAAGAGCAGAAAGCAACTTGCTGTGTCCATCAGGAAATGCAGCACTGGCTTGGACTAGGCCCTTCCTTATCCAGCACAGTGCCATCTCCGATCTGGGACCCGTTTCTAGCCGTCCCTCCCCCCTCCCTTCTTTGTCTGTATAAGACATGTCTTTTCTGGGCTAGGCCAGGGTTTCCAGGAAGAAGATGCAGGCCCTAGTCACTGCATTCCCTGGGTGGTGAGGCAGGGCTGGCTGTGTCTGACTTCTGCTGTAATCTGTCATTCAGTGATTCAGAGCTACGCCTGGCTGCGGTGGGCAGACCCAGCCTTGCTCCGGGGACTCCAGCCAGCCCTGCATCTGCTCAGGGCCAGGAAGCACCTCGGGCCTCAGCTGCGGGGGATGACGGGCCTGCTCCTTGCTGATGTCCATGCTCCCTGATCTATGTGATAGGAGACATTCAGAAACCCTCCCCAACTCTGCAGACATATAGGTAAGGCCAAAGAATGGGGTCAGGGATGATGCAGGACCTGTCTTCACACAGCCCGATTCCTATCTGTCTTCCAATTAGTTGTTCTAGATGTAAAGTCCAGATGCACAGACCTATCTGTGGCTGAAGATACTGTCCAGTGGAGCTGGAGGCTGTCTCCTGCCTCCTTGCTCCCCATGGAGCTGCAAGGACTGGACGCCTCAAACTACATTTCCCAGCTTCCCCTGCACAGACGGTTTTAGTTGAAATCAGCCAATCACATTTAAGTTAGTGGTCAGGAAGCGGAAGCCAGGGCCTCCCTGCCAGTGGTGAAGAATGATACAGGCCTGAGCTCTGTACTCTAGGCAAGACCTGCTTCTCAGCTTCCAGGCTAAGCACAGCTGAAGATTTCTGCCCTGAAACTTCCTGCCCTCAGAGTCCCAGGCCAAAGCAATGCATCTAAAATAATCTAGGGCTCTCCCCACGAGTCATTCTTTCAAAAACTTCGTGAGCACAGATACTACCTTAAATCAAATCCTTCTGCTCCACATCTGTGCCTCAGTTTCTTCTTCATCTACAATGTGGTGGTGTGAGCAATGGCTCCCAGGGGCGGTGGCACAGAGAAGCTGAGGATCCACCACGGGGAGCCTTTCAACGTTGTGCTGGGCACACAGTGTGAGCACTCTTGGAGCTCCTGAGCATCACGTCTCACCACCCAAATCCCTCCACAACTTGCTTTCTTGCATGGAGCAGCAGCCAACCAAGCCCCCAGCCTGTGTCACATTTGTGTTTCACTTCAACTGACACACATAGGAACCAAGATCAGGAGAAAGGGGAAGTGACTGGTTTCCAAGGACACACAGCAAAATGGTGCCAGTGCTCAAATGAGAAGTAAGTCCCCCAACTTCCAGATAGGGCCCACTCTGTTCTCCAGGCTGGCCGGCCCATTTCTCCTAGGCCACCACGTCGCACCCTCCCTCAGAAAGGATCCCAGCAGACACCAAAGGCTGGCAGTAAAGGAGGACCAGAGGCAGAGGCTTGAGGTAGACGGGACAGGGAGTGGGTTTGGGATCTGCTGCACCAGGATGGGACTGCGTGGAAGATCCTAAAGGCGCTGAGCCCTTTGCTGGGCCTGAGGCTGGCAGGGCTGCCTTCCTGGTCTTTCATCTACACAGTCCAAGTGAAAACCATCCCTCCTGAGATGGCCACGTCAACCAGCAGTGAGGACGCCCACCAGTTACCTCGAGTCTCCTGGCTGCCAGACCTGTTCCAGGCACGGTATGAGATCAAAGTGCTTGTGACTACAGCCTCCGGCCCAGCCAAGGTGAGCCCAGTGTGGTGCCTGGCTGAAGCTCCTTCCTGACCTGAGCCTTGGCCCTGAAGTGTGAAAGGCAGACGCATCATGCTCACTCCATGATGGCGGCCTGAGTGAGGACAGGGTGTTCGAGGATGCCCTGGGCTGGGTGAGGCCAGCAGGAGCCTTGCTTCCCCTCATCTGCTTTGTCTCTGATCAGCCGCCAGCTGGGTGTCCCACCCGCTCTGAGTCACTCAGGAAGCGGGCAGCTGGCTGGCCTGGCTGATCTAGGACTGGATCTGCTCTCCGGCCCCAGCATGGGATCAGCCTTGGCTGCTGTTGGACCTGTTTTCACTTCCTCCAGAAAACCTTAGCGTCCGGAGAAGTGGGGCTTGAGAGGTGGATGGCCCCGGCCAGAAAAGCTCATCAGGTGAGTAGGCTAGGATGGTGTCTCTACCCTGCCACCAGCCATCCACTGCCCTGAGGCAGCTGGGCCTGCAGAATGGCTGGACACAAAGTCACCTCTGACTGCTAGGCAGTCCATCCTCTCTGTAAAGGGAGGAACGGTCCAGACCCTGCTCACTCTGGATTCCAAGGTGACCAGATGAACGACAGCTCTGACAGTCCCTGTATAAAACTCCACGCATACGGCAAACATTTCCCGTGCATAGCATTGATGTTGTTGGATATAGAAAGTTCCAGGAACAATTCCTGACCCCCAAGAATGGACATTTAGTACCAGGACTACCACTTGACGCGTGACGTTTTGTTGGACGGCAGACCACATGGGTGAGGCTGGCTCGTAAGATGGCAATGGAATGGATTCTTCCTGTTGCCTGTGATGCTGAAGCTACAGCGTGTTCCATGTGTATGCCATGGCCCATTGCACACGCATGTCACGGCTCATTGCACATGTGCCTGTCACACCAAAGCACACCCATACACGTGTACATAGAGACACTGGCACAAACCTACTGTGCTGCCAGTCACACAGAAGCGGAGCAGACAACCATACAGTGAGAATCGACCTATATGACCGTGTTACAGGCTTGTACATTTGATATATTATATACTTTTTCTTTTGAGAAAGGAGCTCACTGTGTAGCCCAGTCTGGCCTCAAACTCAGGATCCCCCTGCAACAGCATCCTGATTGCTGCAGTTACAGGCACGTGCCATTACAACCAGCTTCTGTTCTACTGTTTATCCCAGCTTCTCACCACACCAGAAAAGCAGGTGGTGTCACACCTGCCACCCGGGCTACCCTGGAGGCTGAGATCCAAGAGTCACAGTTCAAAACCAGCTCAGGCAGACAGATCTGTGAGACTTTTATCTCCAATTAACCAGCCAAAAGCTGGAAGTGGATGTACGGCTGAAATGGAAAAGCACCAGCTTTGAGCAAACGAAGGCATGTGGGCGCACAAGGCCTCAAATTCAAGCTCCAGTACTGTCTGTCTGTCTGTCTGTTTCCCTCTCTCTCTCTCTCACACACGCAGCAGGTAGTGGTCTGTGGGAATTCTAGGTGTCGTTATGAAAGCCAAGTGGCCTCAGCAGGTGAAAGCGGGGAGTACAAGGCTGTGAGGGATG